CTTAGTGTATCATTGGTACTGCGGAGAACCTGACGGGTTGCAGGGCTCCGGCTCGAAGTGCAGAAGTAGGAACGGGGTAGTTTTCAGTCAGTAAGAGTGACACTCGGTCCCGCCTCACCCATACGGGAGCAGTCATTCGATGATTTTCCCCCTTAAAAAAAGTGTATCATTGGTTTAAAAAAGCTATCGATAAAACTTTTAGCCTACCAAAATTGAATTAAATAAACTTTAAGTTCACCTGGAGTCGATAATAAAACCTCTTTGCAAGCTTTTATTTTTTTAAATTTAATTAGGTCAGTGTGACTCGTGGCGGCTTGCAGCTTGCTTGAATTTCCGGAACCATGTGTCCGGTATTCAAATATCGAACGTGTCGTGTTTACTGTCGAGCTGTTACTGTGATTGTTTGAGAATCGAACGTTAATTAACGACTGTTTATTGACGATTCCAATTCAGAACAAGCCGCAAATTGAATTAGATTTTAAATGTTGTTTTTGAAAAATTGGGGACTTTTTGATTACAAAATGTAATGTTACGTCTATTCTAACACCCACGGGGTATGCAAATACAGTGTAACACTAACTTTTCTGTAAGTTATGTAACAGTGGGCCAACTTTTGCTATAAACCCAGCCGAATACCATACTACGTGGTATTATGGATAAAAAGCCTACAAAATATACATCACGACCAAGAAATCCCCTTTTCCGGCCGTCACATTTATGGATACTCGACCGACGAGACTATCTTTTCTTTACAAACACAGGTATAAGCACGGTAAAGGTATAAAAAAGAAACAATGTAAATCTCGTCTGCGAACGAATATACATACACATATATTATGTAACTATGTGTGTATGTCTATTGTCTCTCCAGCTTTTTACGTCTCAGACACAATGACAGAACGATGGGTATTCAGTTACCGGCCACAGATTACTGCAAGCCTTGGTTCAGGGAACGATTCGTTGTCTGTGGAGTATCTGTTATCTATACTGCCTACTTACTTATATCCTTATTATTAGGTAATAATATTTTATTTTATTTTTTATTTAGGATAAGTTCGCCTGTTCGCGTCTACCCAGTAGTTTGCGTTAAATTTACGGATCGCCATTATTGTAGATACTTAAAACGTGAAAAGCTCAAACAAATGAACACTAAATAAATATTACTTATAGTATAGAGATAAATTTCTTATTTTCGGGAATTTCTAAGAGCGTCCCGTAACATGGACGCGAATTGGTGGGTGGACGTCTAACAGGCGAACTTATCTTATCTATCTTTGCATGCATTACACATAAGGCGTAGGTATAGGAAAAATAAGTATTATCTCAAACAATCTAAGTGTGGGAGAGCCATGCTTCGGCACGAATGGGCCGTCTCGACCGGAGTGATACCACGGCCTCACAGAAAACCGACGTGAAGCAACGCTTGCGTTGTATTTCGTCGTGTGAGTGAGGTTACCGGAGGCCCAATTACCGCCCCACCCCACTCTCCCCAATTGCGGTATACCCCACAATCTTCAAATTCCCAATTGCTAAAAGGCCGGTAACGCACTTGTAACGCCTCTGGTGTTTCAAGTGTTAATGGGCGACGCGGATTCCTCACCATCAGATGATCCGTCTGCTTATCCCATAAAAAAAACTAAGACTTATGAAGGTTTTTCATGTCCCATTTTTGTGTTTGGAGATTTTTTTTAACGTTGCCCCAAACTAGGATTTTCTCCTGTGTCGTGGGTACGTTTACAAACTTACAAGTTCACATACACATGACACCCAGACCCGGAACAACAATCTGTGGATCACACAGAGTTGCTCCCTGCGGGAATCGAACCCGCGACACGTTGCGTGGCAGCCAGTTGCCCAGCCACTGCACTATCCGTGTTGTCTTTTTGCTTGATTGTTCTTTTGCTTGAGCCTACAAGGTGTATAGAGTAGGTCTGTAATTTCTTCCCTTTAATTACAAGGGATCAAGTAAAAAAATAACATTTGCAGACATAGATACAGTAAGTAAATATTGTGAAGAGTAGGTAGTACACTGGCCAGCAGGTTATTCTATATTACAATTTCAACTTTATTGTATTGACATAAAGTCTAAATTTGACAGATTTGAGTTGGTTGGTCTGCTGGCCACCGTCATCATAATCATATCACCTACAAAGTCACAAGACGTCCACTATCAAACAGGCCTCCTTACACGGCCTTCTTACTACTTAGGTACTCCTTATTTAAAAAAAAACCTTGGCCCTACATTAAATTTACGAACGAAGTTATTTTTTTATTGGAACTCGTATATAGTTCCGATGAAAATCCCAGCGTCAGAATCTGTGACAGTTGACATTCTGAATGAAATGTGCGCGAATTTTTCTATCCATAGACGGTACCTATTATTTCTTGGTATTTTCAATGTTTGACTTTTATTTTTTCTACTATTTGAAAAGGTGAATAGAAAAATATTTTTATCATAGACTTATTGCGTTACAATACATAAATATAATTTTGTTATTATCAAAACTCATAATAGGTATCTACATTTTCCATCCCGTTTATCGACTGGCTGTTAAATGCAACTACCGAATTCTAGCCAAGAGTCCGACTCCCGGGTCAAGCAAATTATTATTATTGGGGCTACCTGGATTTCAATAAAAGCACGGAGTCTGAAGTTGAGACCGCGACATAGACTCGCATTTTACGTGACGCTCCATATTATCTAATTGTGAACATCCAGCAATGATTGGCCGGGCTAGACGGCACGTAAATTGAAATAGGTAAATGTCAACCCCAATCGAAATGGTAAATCGGAGTCGCGAAGGAACGGGGTGGTTTTTAGTCAGTAAGAGTCTGACACTCCCTCACGCCTCACCCAGGCAGGAGCACTCATTCGATGATTATCCCCCCTTAAAAATCGAAATGGTAAAAGACAAGCAGATAACAAAAAGCTCTCTGTAATTACAAACTGATATCACATTTATGACCATTGATTAACAAAGTTTGTGCGACATCAACCGCCTCGACTAGAAGTTGCTTGAGTCGGGTCACCCAAGTTATGCAATTAAACACGCTTTTTTTTTTTTTTTTTTTTTTTTAAGGGGGGAAAATCATCGAATGACTGCTCCCGCCCGGGTGAGGCGGAAGGGAGTGTCAGACTCTTACTGACTAAAAACCACCCCGTTCCTTCTCCTGCACGTCGAGCCGGAGCCCCGGTTATGCAATTAAACACGCTAGGTACCTTCTTCTAATAAGTTTTATTCATTTTATTATGAAACTGTTTTTTAGAGAGGGATAAAAAAATGAAGAATAATTTTTAATCTTGAAATAAAAAAAGAAATTAGGTAGGTACTTACCTAAATAAATATTCGATGTCAGGTATATAAAAAAGTATTTTGGGAAATTAAAATTGACGGATAACTTAATGACTGACGGGATTTTTTCACAAAACCGAAAATGTTGAATATCTGAGAAATTAGCCACTTTCAGACCAGAGACCTCAGGACTAATTTTATAGGAAATTAGTTGTATTATCTCCTCCTGAGAAGAATATTAATAATAGGTTACAAATCACCCTATATAAGTATTTTGGATTCAGAAATTTATCAGTTAGGTACCTAGGTAAACATTGACTGTGGCGTGGCTTTGTATGTCTTCGAAAATGCTTCCTTTGGGCATTTTGAAACAAAAATATTATGTCACATTTTCATGATAAGGTATCACCTAGGTATTCATATAGTGTCGTGGTGGCCCGGAGATTTAAGACGCTTCTCATACATGAGGGTGCGGGTTCGAAACCTACCAACGGCAAGTACCAATGTGACTTTTTCCGAGTTATATATACTTTCTAAGATTATTCAGACACCATTGGCAAACGGTGAAGGAAAACATCGTGAGGAAACCTGGGCTTATAATTTCTAATTATAAGTTTGTAATCGCCAACCCGCATTGAGCAAGCGTGGTGATTATTGCTCAAACCTTCTCCGTGTGAGAAGAGGCTTTGCTCAGCAATGGGCTTTTATAGGCTGTTAATGATGAATTAATGATTCATATAGCCATAATCATAATAATATTGTATGGGTTTTTTTTCGTAATAAAAGTTACTTGACCTATTGACAAGCACCTATATCCATAGATTAATTACTTATAGTTTATCTACAAGTTATTTATTTATTCGAAGGAGTACTGCTACAGCTAGTGCTGTAGCAGTAAATGTTAGTACATTTAACATTAAATTTGATATATACAAAAGTAACAAAATAATGGTCTAATGCATGTGACAATAATGGCGCACTGGCAATTCATCGGCTTAACAATCGCTTAAAAATGGAACACAATTTGTTAAATACAAAACAAAAATTCATACAATACCTACCTACTTACCTTACAATGAGAATTTACCAAGTAGAATAGGTATAAATGCTTGTCTATACCATACGGAACTATTTCAGCGTACGTTTTACTTTCCGCCCTACCCAGTACCTACCTACTGTTATATTATTATTAGAGCATATTTCAACATCTACTGTTAATACTTTGTGTAGGTATTTATAAATTATAATATGTTACGAGACAAAAATATTACGGAACTTAGAACTTAAGCTAACCAAACCGTGTAAAAGATTGAAGAAATAAAAACATCTACTTTTATGCCTTCCAACACAAATTGCAATGTTTATTAACGTTTTAATTTTGCTATCAGGTAAAACAAGAATACAAGTCCTCGAAGAGATAACGGAAAAACATTTACGGCCGTAATTTCCCACCGAAATAAATGTAGACAGTAAACTTATCAACAACACAACTTCCAATCAAGGAAAACCGAAAACATTTTTAGCGTCAAGGCAAAAGCTAATTTGTATACAGCCTATTTTTATTACAAACGAGTAAATAACCACAGATTCATTATCAAAATTCATTACGCGTATCCCAATAGAAATTAAACATCAAAGGGACGCCAAAAGTCCAAAATATAAACAAAACATTACCAGCTGTGTTCAAAAACTTTAATAATTACTTACTTGGCTCTCAGTGACAGTTGCCGATCGTTCGGACACACATATTTATTGGCTTTACTTTGAAAATTCATTGCACAGTTCGGAAAAAAATAATAAAAAAATAATTTGAAAATATTCGCGGAGCGCGGGACAGTGGCGCCGCGCGTTCGCGCCTGTTGATAACGTTCAACTGTTGCTTCGCGCGTGGCGGCTCATAATAATCGATATTTTAACATCGCTCTTGAAAACTAACAATATGTTACGATCAGCGACATCCTTTTATCAGTATGATAAACATGACCATGTAAACATAATGCTTGCATTATTGTGACTTCATAGTTTTGAACATTGAGTAGCTCGAAAAAGTTTCAGGTTTTTAGTGTGTATTTTAGGTAATATTAGGGCCTAGAATTTAGTTCTTTTGATTTGATACTGATAAATAGTATATTAAAGTGGTGAATTATGTGCATAAATACATTGAATTAGTAATAAAAGTCTTAAAATGTGTTAAAACACAGTGGGTAGTGCAATTTGCATTAAAAATTTCAAACTATTTAAATTTCGAATAGTGATTAGGATATGACGTCAACGTAAAGGTGAGAACATATAAATGTCTGTCAAATTACAAATTGTCGTTTAAAATGGTTTTAGTATTTTTGTGAACCATATTTATTACAGTGCTTTTTTTATTGCATTTATACTTAATATTTTTATGTGATCAAGGAAATCTATCTAACATTTCAATTTATATTTGTGTCACTGGTAAGCGTATCCGAACGTAAAAAGAGTCATCAATATATTTCTGTCTCTTTCGCTCTTTGACACTAGTGATGTTCGTATAAAATCAAATCGATTTGGAATTGAGTAATCGATTAAAATATCTATCACATAAATAAGTATTTCTATTAAATTTTGTTCTAGTTTTTGTAGACCATTGTTCTAGGGTCAAATATTGTTGTCGTTTTCAACTTAAAATTACCTACAACTAAACTATTAAATAAAACGAAAGTAAAAAAAAGAAAACAACAAAAATCATTTGTTAAAATATTTTGAAAGCGCAAATGAATATTTTATGAGTTGAAAGTAAAGTCAAACAACAGTTAATTTAATAATTTCCAATTATAAAACTTTATAATAATAATAAAACATTATCATTTGTTATTATTGTTTATCAATGATAGATTTATAAATACAAACAATATGAGGCTTTTTTGCACACTTTTTTTATAACATCAAATAAGTATCACAAAATGCAATCAACTATTTTGCATTTATTTTTTCTTTTTCAAGACTGTTAATATATCAAATTAACTATATCTTAATTCGGATTATATTTCAAGTCGATAATCGAGTTCGATATCGATATAATCAGCTGCACATCGGAGCATTATTAGTGTTTAGCATCTCTACCTTAGTCAGTTTGACATTTCACTTTTTCAGTAATGATGGCGCACTTGCGAAAGGTGTTTAGTTTACTGTAACTTTTATTTTTATGTAGTGCCGTGAAGTGAAAACCAAGTGATTTTAATGCCGTACCGCAGGCGCTTCTCAGCCAAGATGCCAGATTTCGACGACGAAGTGACTGTCGTCGATGTTTACGACCTGGCATCGGACATTGGCAAGGAATGCGAGATAATTATTGAAAAATACGGCCCTGACGCCGTTACAGCGCTGCTGCCGAAGGTGATTAATGCGCTGGAGTTGTTGGAGAACTTGGCGGTGCGGAACGAGAAGGAGAATCAGGCGCTGCAGGAGTTGACGGCAAAGATTTCACAGTTGGAGAATGATAAAATTGAGAAGGCTGAATACAGGCAGCGCTTCGAGAAGGTAGGTGTAGAGGTCATTGTTAGGTAAATAAGTGTTATTAGTTTGTTTAGAGTGCGTGTTGTGCACGGAATACACGAAACATTGGGTGTTTCGTCATCTGTGAATGCATCGGTTCCATTGCAACAGAGCTGAGCGGGCGATGATATTGCGCGACAGTGTCCACTCCGCCGACGTCGCCGTTCACGTCTAAACATTAATTGGCCTCTATTATACCCATTTTTTGTGAGTAGATACTGTTTTAAATTTCTAATAAGACCTTATTTGCTATTAGTCTTCTTATCAGATAAGTTTTTTATTCAGTTATTGTCTATTATTGGTTTAAATTAGTCAGCCAGTTTGTTTGTATCATCGATTAAATACTTTTTTTGAAGACTTACTCAATTAAAATGGAATTTGGCTATGATGCAAGTGATGTAATAGTCTTTCTATTTGAATTGGTAATTACTTTCATTATGTAAAATATTTATGCTAATTTATTCTGCCAGTTGGTCCATGAGAATAATGTCCATCCATTGTAATTGTTGGATTCTCCACAGAATAAAAAAAATATTTTGTAGCGCTACAGGCTCCGTCAGTAAATTATTTGTGGTATCAGAACATTGAACTAAAGTACCTTGATAAAATATGTATATTTTACTAGTTACTACTACACGGTCCTCCACTCCTATTGCTTATAGCATTATGTTCAACCTACCTAAGTAATACTGAAAATGCATTCTACCAATAAATTCTACAGCTTTTAAATTAGTAACGATTTTGCCACAAACGGGCATGAGAAGATAAGAAATACATCATTGACAATCATAAGCGCAATATAATAACGAGTATGGCTATGTAAATAAATTTTTAACTCATGGTGTGCACAGAACACAGATCTATATGAATTGATTTTGTATTGTATCTTACATAATCATCAACAGCCGAATTACATCCACTGCTAGACAAAGGCCTGTATCTTATATACTGGTAATCAATTGGATAAATTACCTAGTTTTTTTTTTTAAATACACTGCCCACCCTAGGAATTTCTCCTGTGTTGTGGGGGCGTTTACAAACATACAAGTTCACATACAAAATGACACCCAGACCCAAAACAACAATTTGTAGATCACAAAAATAATCAAACCCGCAACATGTTGCACGGCACCTGCACCAACCGTGCAGTCAGTTGTTAAAGGAACAAATGAATCCACATTTATTTTAGGCTTTAACTAATTGAGATTTCACCGGGATGTCCAAATAAAACTTAAGTATTTGTTTGCTCAAGTTTACTAATACACCATTCCTCACTGAAACAAAAATTACAAGAAGAAATAAGCAAATATAACCAACTTAAAAAAATGTGCAATGCTTTAAGCACGAATTCAGTTACCTCGTCAAACAAGCTAAAGAGGAATAAGAAAGGTGAATCAAAAACAAAATCAAACTTTTCTGCAAGAAGACTAAACCTAGATTTCGAATTTCATACACCTAAGACAACTCCAATACCACACTCTCCAAGACAAAATGACTTACCTATCAATATTAAGGAAGTTAATGTTATTGAGTGTCAGGAAGAAAGAACTCAGGAAAATTGCGAGAAGAAGAGCACCACTTGCGAGTCCCACACATCCCCGGCGACTAATCAACAGGTCAACTGTAATAATAACTCGGTACCTGAATGTAGACAGGTAATTCTACTAGCAGATAATCAAGGTAAAGGCGTTGTGCAGAAACTTATCCATAACAAGAATAAACTTATTTTTAAAAATTATAAAATTCATTCAATTAGAAGACCGAATGCGAAAACAAAATATGTATTAGCGGACTGTAGTAATTTAGCGAAAAGTTTGACAAAAAGTGACTATGTTGTGTTAATGGTAGGCAGTAACAATTCTAATCCAGTGGAATTAATGTCTGAAATATCTATAGCACTACATTATCTCAAAGTCTGTAACGTATTTGTCATTGATGTTTTTCATAATTGCTACCTTAATGAGTACAAAATTAATTCTCAATTAAAACTACTAACTCAAAACTACAAAAATTGTACGTATATTGAAACTGATCCAAATATAGACATCTCGACACAAATTATTCACCAATTAAATATTGCACAATACAATAACACATTTCTTTCATACAATGACAACAAACTAGAACAGAGTAATAATTTTAGAAATATTGTTCGAAATCAATTTACAAAACGTAATTCAGCAGATGCGATACCGATTGTAAAATTAACCAAACCTAAAATTAACAACACTATTTTAATAGAACCAAGAAAGGGTACAATACCGTTTTATTTTCCCGTTATTAAAAAAACAACCCTTACAAATAGAACCAACTCTTACAAAACCTTACAAATAGAACCTGACTGTAAACTGACTAACAAAAGTAATTTTTTTCGTGACTAAGCACTCTCATACAATTTTCCATCAAAATATTGCTGGTGCGTTAAATAAAACACCCGATTTAGAAATTGCATTGCAAGAGTTACAAGAGTTGGGGAAAAATGTTATAATAGTATGTCTGAGTGAACATTTCTTGAAAAAGAACGAAGAAAGTGGCCTAAACGTAGGCAATTTCTATCTGGCTGCGAGTTACTCACGACTTAATCAACGACGTGGAGGTTCTTGTATACTGTGTAGGAAAGGTTACAAAAGCACTGAACTTGACGTGACAAAAACCTTTGCTGAAGATAAAAATTTTGAGATTTGCGGCATACAACTAGATAAACCTAAAATAATCGTACTTTCCATATACCGAACACCCAACTCAGACGTAAAAATTTTTTTCAACCATTTATCAAATATTCTGTCTAAATTACAAAATAAAAAACATAAAATAGTAATCTGTGGGGACTTTAATATAGATTTAGGAGCGTCCGATAAAAATAGTATCCAATTTAAAGAATTAATAGTTAATCAGGGATTACAATATCACATAAATAAACCTACAAGACTCAATAAATGTATAGACAATATTATTAGTAACATTGACGGTGCCATAGGCGAAACTTTCAATTTCTATCTCTCTGACCATAACACAGCTCAAACTATAACGGTGGAACACCAGGATTTAAAAACCAATAGTTTCTATAATATGAATTTAAAAGACTTAAGTAAGGAAAACATTAGTAAATTTGTTCATTATATTGGTAGTCTAAGTTTTAACGAAATTTGTGAACTAAATAATGTCAACGACGCCTTTAATGAATTTCACGATCTGTTGACACTATTTTACAAACTTTGTTTTCCTACAATAAAGGTAAAAATAAATCAAAATAATAAAAAACCTAAATGGATAACCAAAGGCGTAAAAATAAGTAGTAAGACAAAACGGTTATTAACTCGTCGAGTACCGGTTTTATAGACACAATTAAAGAACAATAGGTCGCGGTCACCGGTGACCGCTTGGTGTTTGACAGTTTAAGGTATAAATATTATTTAAATAAAAATAGTGAAAATA